GAGAGAGATTGAAATGGATTAGGAAAAATCACTCCAAACTAAGAGTGTCAAAGTATACAAGTATAAATGTAGAGCAAGAACAAACACATGGATCAAGCATAGGAAAAAGAGTCATATTACCATCATCTTATGTGGGGAGTAGACGATTTATGAATCAGTTGTACTATGATGGCATGGCAATTTATAGTAAGGTGGGATTTCCATATCTTTTCATTACATTCACATACAACCCAAATTGGCCAGAAATTCAAAGATTTCTTGGTCCTCTAAATTTGAAGCCACATGATAGACCTTATATCATTACTAGAATATTTAAAATGAAGTTTGATAACCTCCTAGCGGACGTGACAAAGAAAGGTGTTTTAGGCAAGGTTCTCACATGTAAGTCTACCATTTCTTTTTTGCTAGCATTTTACTTTATCCATTGTTTACATATAAAGGTTGTTTCATATATATATATGATAATATGTAGGTTATGAAATTATATTTTTAGTATGGGAATTTACCTAATTCTCATATGTATTTATTTTTTTAACATTTGATCTTATTTTCAGATATGTACACAATTGAATTCTAGAAAAGGGGTATCCCACATGCACACATTCTTATTTTCTTGCATCCATCAAATAAATATCACGCTCCTGAAGACATAGACAAAATCATTTCTGCTGAAGTTCCCGATCCATTGAGACATCCAAGATTGTATAATATGGTGAAAACCCACATGGTACATGGACCTTGTGGGTTAGAAAATCCTAAATGCCCTTGCATGAAGGATGGTAAGTGTTCCAAGTACTATCCTAAGAAATTTCAAGATGTCACAATTGTTGATCAAGATGGATATCCAGTTTATAAAAGGAGAGATCAAGGTAATAAATTTGAGAAAAACGAAGTCACACTGCATAGTGGTCATGTTGTACCCCATAATCCAAGTTTGCTAATGAAATATGAGGCACATATAAATATGAAGTGGTGCAATCAAAGTACGTCAATTAAATATCTTTTCAAATACATCAACAAGGGTTCTGATAGGATCTCAGCTGTTATCGTTCCAAATAACACTGGTCAAGATGGAAATACTGATGAAATCAAGCAGTACCTTGATTGTAGATATGTATCACCAAGTGAAGCTTGCTGGAGAATCTTCTCTTATTCAATTCATGGTAGAAAACCAACTGTTGAAAGATTATTTTTTCACATGGAAGGAGAGAATTCTGTGTACTACAAAGATTTTGAGCAAATAGGTACTCTCCTACTTAAACCAAGTGTCACATAATCAATATTTACTTCTTGGTTTCTCGCAAATAGCCAATATGAAGAAGCAAGGTCTTTAACATATGGACAATTTGTGTCAAAATTTGTATACGACAAGAGGAAAAGGTGTTAGAAACCACGTAAAAGAGGTTACACAATTGGCTGACTCATTTGGGTCCCACCAACAACCGAAGAATTGTATTATATGAGGATGTTGTTGACTGTGAAGAAAGGGCCAAGATCTTATGATGAATTAAAGACAATTGAGGGGTTCAAGCACAATTCTTTTAGAGAAGCATGTTTTGCAATGGGCTTCCTAGAAGATGACAAAAAGTTCATTGAGGTAATAAAAGAAGCTTATAACTGGGGTTCTGGAGTATTTTTGCGCAAACTTTTTGTTACAATGTTATTATCAGCTTCATTGAATCAACCAGAACATGTTTGGCTTTACACTTGGATATACTTATCATATGGGATTCTATATGAACAAAGAATATTGTTACAAAATCCAGGTTATATTAATACATATTTTTTATATCTATGTTACAATAAGTTATATTTTATATCCTCCATTTTATTGCTTACAACACTTTTGTTGACAACACTTTTATTCACTTCTCAAAACTTTTGTGATAACATTTCAATAATATTTTTTCATTACTTAAACTTTATTTTTTTTGTAGATTTAACTTTGTCAGATGAAGATATTCAACAACTCACTTTGATGGAAATTAAGAAGCAGCTGCAGAAAAATAGAAGAAGTTTGAAAGAATTTAAGCCAATGCCATATCCAAATAATTATGTCCTTGACTTTCTTGGAAATAGATTGATATATGATGAAAGACAATATGATATCAAGGCTCAAGAAGAGATTTACCACAATCTATTTCAAAAATTAACGGGTATTGATTTTACAATTATTTCAATAATATTACTTTATGTTTTATTAAGCCTTCTACAATAGTTGTTCATCTTTATTCTCATCAAGTTAAACACATATGCGGTACTTATTCTATACTGTTCATGGAGTAGATTTTAGTAATTATATATTCATGATATTCATTATATGGAATAGTTATGGTATACCTCCTATCAGGAATTGAAAATTTAAACTTTGCTAATGTAACAACTTTGATGGTGTGTTCTTTTAGAATGTAGATGAACAACATGAAATTTTTAGACAAGTTATGCAAGCTGTCACAAATAAAAATGGTGGAGTTTTTTTCTTATATGGTTATGGTGGGACCGGAAAGACTTTCATGTGGAACACACTTTCTGCTGCTTTGCGTTGTCAAGGAGATATTGTGTTAAATGTAGCATCTAGCGGAATAGCAAGTTTGTTGTTACCAGGTGGGAGAACTGCGCATTCAAAATTCAAAATTCCAGTTCCATGTCTGGAATCTTCCATCTGTAACATTGAGAAAAAATTAGATCTTGCTAATCTCTTGAAGGTAACAAAACTCATTATATTGGATGAAGCACCTATGGCTAATAAGTTTTATTTTGAAGCTCTTGACAAGTCATTGAAGGATATAATGAGTGATGAAAATATTGAATGTCAACAAATTTTTGGAGCAAAATTGTAATTTTTGGTGGAGATTTCAGACAAATTTTACCTGTTGTACAAAGAGGTACTAGGTCTGATATTGTCCATGCAACAGTAAATGCATCATATATTTGAGATCATTGCAAAGTTTTGAATCTAACCAAAAATATGAGATTGCAAAGTGGTCCTAATTTAAGCAATTTAGAAGACATTAGGCTATTCTCAGATTGGATTTTACAAGTTGGCAATGGGAAAGTCTCAGAATCCAATGATGGCTATGTTGAAATAGATATTTCCGAAGAGCTACTCATTAGAGATTTTGTGGATCCAATTCAGGAAATTGTTACAAGTACCTATCCAAATCTACTTCAAAATTACACAAATCCAAATTTCCTTCAATGTCGAGCAATTCTAGCATCAACTATTGAAATTGTTGACGACATAAATGACTACATACCTAATCTTCTTCCATGTATATTTTAATCTCTATTAGTTATGTCTGATACATGAATACTTTTTTCTTTAAAAGTGCGTATTTTAGTGAAGTTGGACTATTAAATATGATATTTAAGAGTTGTATACTCTTTTTGTTTCAAATATATAAATATTTATACTTTAATAATCATTCTTTTTCATGAAGGTGATTGTAAAGAGTATTTGAGTTGTGATTCCATTGATAGATCAAAAGCAAATGATAATTATCCTTTCGAGTATTTGACAGCAGAATTCTTGAGTTGTCTTAAAACTTCTGGTTTGCCTAACCATTCATTGAAATTGAAAATTGGTACAACCATCATATTGATAAGGAATTTTGATCAATCAGAAGGGCTTTGCAATGGTACAAGGTTGACAGTTACTAAGCTAGCCAACTATGTAATAGAAGCAAAGATAATTTTAGATACAAATATCGGAAATACTATTTACATACCACAAATATCTTTGTCTCCTTCTCAATCTCCACGGCCATTTAAACTTATCAGAAGACAATTTCCAATTATAGTGTCATTTGCTATGACAATCAACAAATCTCAAGGGCAATCATTGGATTATGTTGGTTTATATTTGCCCAAGAATGTTTTCAGTCACAGACAACTTTATGTTGCTATTTCAAGAGTTAAGAGTAAAGCTGGATTGAAAATCTTAATACATGACAAAGACAACAACTCCTTAACTCAAACAACAAATGTTGTCTTCAAAGAAGTTTTTCACAACGTGATCTAGGTACATTTTTACTATTTCTTTAAACTATTAAGTTTATTATTTAAATTCTCTTTTTTTATTTACTATATTTCCTAACACCTACATTTCTTTATTAAACTTTCACACACTATCATTTTTGAAAAAATAATACAAATGTCGCCATGCAAATGTAAGTCATTTTTTCAAGGTCAAAATAATGTTTTCTCTTTTCTAATTAGAACATTTCTCTAATTCTCATTTTATTTATCATACTTGTAGGTTATGTAATCTCTTCAATTGCTTCTAATAAGGCCTACTGTATTATTAGAATCAAAGATTTTAGTTTTTTATTCTATGTTGAACATATTATAATTGTGTTAAGCACTGTCAATATATTTTAAAACAGTTGAATATTTTTACAATTAATACTGTAAAATTATAATCATTTTGATTTTGTTATTTCTATTTAACAAATGCTCTTATATTAAAGAATTAATTTTTTCATAGATTCCATGGAAATGCACGGATCTTCTACTAGTTCATTCATAAATAACACATCTTAAAAATGGTTATATATAATCTCAGCCACAAAAATAAATACATTTATTTTATCTTATACATTTGTTTTATCTTAATTTTTCATTTTTTTTAATAAAAAAAAAAGATATTTGTCTAATTGTTTTTTAGTGAGAGAAGTGTTTCTCTCTCTAAAATCCATATAAATAGCGTAACTGTAATCAAAAGCCGTCACGCTTCTTTGCTCATACTCGTAGTAGTTTAGTGGTCTCTGCGAGCTTCACTCACACACTCTCTCTAGAAGCTTCCGCAGGTACCATTTCTGAGCGAGCTAGAGAGAATTGACCGCATAGCTTCGTTATTCGCCCGCCGTTTATTCGTCGGAAAATTGAAGATCTCTCCATCTCCGACGACCTAAATTATTTTCTCAATTTTTTATTTTAATTTTTTTTAGTTCCGGTTGATTTAGGGCTTATTGACTTTATCGGAATTATTGTTATTGAGCATGGCTTCGGAGGATGTGAAAACTGGTGAATCAGCTGTAACGAAGATCGTTAATTTGGCGGAAGAAGCGAAGCTTGCTAGAGAAGGAGTTGTTAAAGCTCCTAACTATGCCATCGGTAGCATCTGCAAGTCTCTCGTCGCCGGTGGAGTCGCAGGAGGAGTGTCAGTTCCGTTTTCATTTCTTATTTATAGAATTATTTATTTATTATTATATTGAGATGATTGGTTGGAATTTGAAAGTATTTATGGTTTGATGTTGATATTTCATTGGTTTTATCGAAGTTGTGATTTTGATGATTTTAATTGTTGTATTTTCGAGGAAAGTATGTATTTTTTTTTTGGATATTTTGAATCATAGGGCTTTTGTATAATTTTGTTTCTTTGTTTGTTTTGAATATGGGTTGATTCTGTAAAGTAATTGGGGATTGATGCGCATAATTGTTAATCTGGCTTTTGTAATTGGTGAAGTAGTATGGTTATTTAATACATGATCTGTTAAATATACTCAAAAAACTGATGTGTTAAATGTAAAAGCTTTTGTTCATTTGTGAAGTTGTTAGGTCTGGAGTTGTTCATATTTACAAATGATATATCACCTTGTCTGTCTTATTTCCCCTGTGAGGAAATCAGAAAATTAAGGACTAGCGGTTGGCAAAAAATACAACTATTGTTAGGCGTTTGGTTGTCAATAGCCAACCGTAGTGGTTGCTATAGCAACATTACAGGGTGGTAACCATTTATGGGCTCTAGCAGCCCTACAGTGCTGCTACTATAAAAACGGAATATGCCCTCAACTTACAGTCGCTCTGTATGTTTTTGGATATTTTGATCATTTCTCCTTAAAACTTATTTGCTCTGTATTCGGTTTGGATATTGGTACAGAGAACTTTGATTTTAGTTATGAATGTCCTTAATTTTTTGTATTCTAATTTTGAGCTTTTACACGTGTATGGTACTATGGTATAAATTACTTGTCTTGTTTCACTAAATTTGAATGTAATGCCATTCAGCTACCTGCTACACTGCTGTAGTGTTGAGGGTTGGCTGCAACGTTCCGCGGTTTGCCATTGACTAAATAATACTTAGGCCAAAAAACCGGTGCTCAAAATTGAAGAAATAGAATAGACGAAGAATTTTTCTATTTTATTTTTAGCGCGTGCTTTTGCGAGGAAAAAATTATCTGTATTGGATTTGGATCACTAGTGCAGAAACACCTCCAATTTTGGGGCTCTGGAATTGAATTAGATTTGGTTTCTTGTGACTGTATGTGTGAGTTTTATAAAAGTAACTAGAAGATTTCCATTCCCTTCATATTTGATAGTAAATGCCTTCCTATCTTTGATACATGCTGTGAATTGCATTTTGATTTCAGTCAGTTGAGAAATAATTAAAATTACAACGACCTATAGTCCAGTTTTACTGGAAACTATTTCTTTTTGATAATCCCGACATACTTTTTGGTGTTATGATGAATTCTAATCAAACCAACAAATTTTGTAACTTGCAGATCACGAACGGCAGTTGCTCCACTCGAGCGAATGAAAATCTTGCTTCAGGTTAGTTTGTTTGGTTGTTTGGATTTGCATAGGTATCATTTCTTCTTGCTTTTATATGCCGGGACAAATTAGACTGTAAATCAGCACGCTTGTTTGGATGTACCCTAATTTCTACATTGCATCTCTTGGTTTTTGCCATCTGCAGGTCCAGAATCGTCATAACATAAAATACAATGGAACAATACAGGGCCTAAAATATATATGGAGAACTGAAGGATTCCGTGGACTGTTCAAGGGAAATGGTACTAATTGTGCTCGAATTGTCCCAAATTCTGCTGTGAAGTTCTTCAGTTATGAGCAAGCGTCTAAGTAAGTTTTACTTGTATACAAAATGAAGTACTAATTTTGTTTTTGTCTAGAATTCTCTATAGTTGTCATTCAGGTGCAGTATTATACCAATCAACTTTTGTTGATGGCAAAATGGCTTCTGCAATACAATTTAACATTTTTCTTTAGGGACAATTCCAGTGGCTATATCTTTTCAATCATTTTAAACATCCTTCACACATTCATAACTCTCTGTTCATTTCCCTGACAATTCTCTTATTTTTGCAGAGGCATACTGCAATTCTATCAGCAGCAAACTGGAAATGGTATATTTACTATTTTTACTCTTGGATAAATTGTGTCGGCTTAGATTTTTTTTTTTTTACTTTTTTTTTTTAAAATTGAGCAGTGGCAATATCAGACTTAATTTACTCTAGATTTTTAAAAACAGACTGCAGTTGCGGTGCCAATGGTTTTTATGGCTTTGTGAATTGCGACTGTTATTGCAGCCGCATCACCCATATAATTAAATGATAAATACAATATTCAGAATTCTTTAACGTTTTCATCAAGCAAGCCAAATACCTAAAGAGTGCATATGTCAAGTGCTCAGGAAATAGTAGTCTGCTTCATTAAGTGGCAAACTAAAAAAAAGAACTTGGTAGCAAACTTTTGAGCGGTAGCAAGTTAGCAACTTAATACAATGCGTGACAATCCAAGAGCATATATTGTAAACTTTGAAAAGAAAAAATGTATTAGGTACGCAAGCATATAGTACTGGCACGGTTATGTCCCTAGTATAGGAATGGCTCCCATTTTAGTAGTACTGATACTTATGCATCATAGATACAGCAGCTATGTGGTGTCCATTGGCTAGCTTGAATATCCAATTCAATGCACTAATATAGTGTTGAAAGTGAACACTTTTTACACAAATGATTTAGTGTTTGTTAAATACATTTTTTCAGTAATCTTTTACTTATAAAAAGTAAATCAAACAGTTTTTCATCGACAACACTGGCTGAAATGATCTGTGTATTCTTTGACCTGTAAAATATTTAGATTTAGATTTAGATTTTCTTTTTTAAATATTTCTAGTTGTCTAAGTATATACCCCATGTACTTTCTACAGAGGATGCTCAGCTTACCCCTGTTTTACGTCTTGGAGCTGGAGCATGTGCTGGAATAATTGCTATGTCTGCAACTTATCCAATGGATATGGTCCGAGGCAGGATAACTGTACAGGTCCGTTTTTCATTTTACCAAATGATTGCTTTTGCCGTTGTGGATTATAAGGGTAGTTGTGATAATAATTGGAGAAAGTATATGTGCTACCAAAGTTTGACAGAAAGTTTTTCGCCTCGTATTTGCAGTCCGAGAAATCCCCTTATCAGTACCGAGGAATGTTCCATGCTTTGACTACTGTGCTTAGGCAAGAAGGTCCACGTGCTTTATATAAGGGCTGGCTTCCTTCAGTAATTGGAGTTGTGAGTAATCTTTCCTGAATATCTCTTCTATTTATGATGATAATTTATAATTATGACCAATAATTCGTTATGGAGAACATGCTTATTTTTTTGGTATAGTTATGTGAACATGTTTAATTTACAATTTTTACGAGAAGTTGTTACTGCATTTAAAAGCTACATAGAATGTGCAGTTGAGGGAGGGACCTTGATCCCAAGAAAAGGTTGTTTGGATGTTTAGTTCTATGCCATCTTATATTCCTTCTTTTACCTTTTTTTATTAAGAACATTTACATGCTTGGTCTTGTTTATTTTTTCAAAAAAAACATTTTTAAACTGTTGGTTTAATAAGTGGGTTGAGCCTTTTGTCAATTCATTTAATCATTTAAAACTGAACCTTTAATTTCTAACAATGGTTGTAGGATGTAGGATTTTAGGGAGGGTGTTTATATTTGTTTATGGCATGATCTTTTAGTAGATACTAGATACAACTATTCATTTAGTCATGTTATACCATTGAGCCAAAGACAGGTAAGAGTAACATTGAGGTGTTTATTTGGATAGTACCTCACAACTTTATTTGAGGGAAGGCAGATTGCATAATTCCCTACCAAAATGGAAAGCTAATGCATTTACTTACATGTTTGCTACATTTAGGATCACAATTTTACAATTTTTTTTCAACAAATTCATAATAAATACTGATTATTGTACCACTATCCATCATAAATCTGGTGTTAAAGCTTAGCCATTTGCTATTGGATCTTGGTAGAGGTATATCATTCTATCTTGCTTCATTTCTTTTAGTTTAATGTAGCATATGTTGTTTGCAGAGGAATGCTAAGAACACCCTCATACAGACCCTCTTGAACACACTTAACTCTATTGGGCCGCATCATCTATGTTTTTCCAAACCCTTACCTGTTAACAGGTCAAACAAGTTAGCCATTTCTATTCTATTTTATGAGTGTTGCTCACTTGCCACGGTCTGCACTGCCCTTTACCCTGCCCGATCCCTCACCAGCCTCAAGATGCTAATGACATAAATGTCTCCATCGGTTTCTTTACATTAGCCAACTCAGAGGGTCCATCACAGAAGATCAAGTGGGAATACATGTGGGTTGTATGATAAAGCGGACTTGTTGGGATTTTTTTAGAAGCATAAAGCATGTTTAAATTCCAAATGTTCCATTCCACCAAGTAATGTGACATCCGGTGATGTAATTCTCAAGATCATTGATGAGGAAGTCGAGGAGCAAAACACACTGTTTCAGCCACTGCATTTTGTTGGCAGAGAAGAACAGAAAAGTCGATATGGACCTAGTGGTGGTTTTGTCATCTGTACATAGTTGATAATTTAGAAATAGAATAGTTTATCTTTTTCATTTTATGATTTTAAGAAGGGGAAACTTCAAAAACAAAGTAAAAGTAATACAATTACCACATGTTCATACCAGAAGCAGAGGTGTTCAAGATTTGAAGTGGATGGCGGTTTTCTGACCTATATTGGAACAGTTAAATTAAATTATGAGCGAGATGATCGCCTGAAAGGTTTTTGTTTTGCAATGTTCTTTGCATGTTTCATAATTATAGTTATAATTGACTGTTATTGTAATTCTGCATAGAAGCAAGGTCTCTTTTTTTGGTGCTTCTGTTAAATTGATATTCTCTTCCTCTCTTCCGCAGGTTCCTTATGTTGGTCTCAACTTTGCTGTCTACGAGTCTCTGAAAGATTGGTTGATTAAATCTAGACCATTTGGTCTAGTCCAAGATTCTGAGTTGAGTGTGACAACACGTCTGGCTTGTGGTGCTGCTGCCGGAACCATTGGACAAACTGTCGCTTATCCTCTTGATGTCATTCGTCGAAGAATGCAGATGACTGGTTGGCACAATGCTGCTTCTGTTATAACTGATGGAAGAGGCAAAGCCCCACTTGAATATTCTGGAATGATTGATGCATTTAGGAAAACTGTTCGGCACGAGGGATTTGGTGCATTATACAAGGGTCTGGTGCCAAATTCTGTAAAGGTACCACTATTTCTATTTATCTCTGGAAAATGAGACACTTAACTTCGCATGTATGATTCCTGATTGTCTCATAATAAGCCTACGTGATTAGCAAAGGGCCAATGTTGCCTATAATTTTGAGCCAAATATTGGCATGTTGACAGAATTCCTTACCGTTTTATACTCAGTTCCAGATCAACTTAATGTATTGAATATTTATTCACTTGAAGTTTGCTTTTAATGATTTTAATCTTTAATTATAAACATTTCTTTTGGGTTACTCTAATTCTTTAACTCGTTGTTGTGCAGGTGGTCCCATCCATAGCACTTGCGTTTGTATCATACGAGATGGTGAAGGACATTTTAGGAGTGGAGATCAGAATATCAGACTAAAGTTCGATAGCCACATATTATTTGTTTACCTGGTGTGGTTTTCTCTCTTTTTTTGACAGGCAAGGGGATGATGTAGAGATGGTAACCTAAAGTTGTTTCCTTGTGTTTCATCTCTCCAAGGATGAGTTTAGAACTCTAGAGTTAGTGTCTATAAATTTATTCCCTTGTTCCTATTTGTTTTCTTTACGAACGTGCTGTAGTTTTCAGCTTCTTATTCATGTTCCATGTCAATAAGTGTTGTGGAAAAACAATGCAAGGACATATTTGCCTGGCTTTCTACACTAGTTAAGAAAGCATTTTTCCTAGTGGAATCTGATGTGATTGATATATTCTTATGCTCCAGAAATAATATGTTTGAAATGAATGTGCGACGTATTTCCGTTGATGTTAACCGATTTAATTTAGGGGTGGCAAACGGGCATGTCGGCCCCGTTTAGGCCCGTTCCGCAAATGTCTTAAAAAAATGGGGCGGTGCGAGGCGATCATAGTTGAGGATGCGGGCCTAAATCCTAGGCCCACCCCGCAAAAAAGTGAGGGTAGGGCGAGGAAAGCCCGCAGACACTGATTTTTTAGGCTTAAAAATATAAAAAATTATGTAAATGTTCGTAGTTGCAAAAGCCTACGAAGAAAACAGAACGGGACAAACACATTAGAGGGTGATGGTCTAAATTTTTGACTCACTTTGTACTAAAGTGCGGGTAAAACGGACATGTCTAATGAAATCAAGGTTTATCCTAAATGACTAATAATACTAATATTGATAACATGCGTTGTATCTCTCCATGTCTAGACTAACAAATGCCATCTTTGGGTATATTGAATGTATGATGAATGACAACTGAAATCCACAATGTCAGATGGCAGCTTGGGTCCAAGAGCTGACTTGGAGGTGCCATTGTCTACTATGTTGTTTGAGTTAGCTAGGGTGTGCAACCTACTTATGTTGGTTACCGTGTGAGACCATTCATTACTCTCATCCTTCCCTTCTTCGTCTTTCCCTTTCATCCAACCTAATTCGGTAAGTCAAACCTGTTCACATCTTCCTTTCTCGTGGTAGATATATGGTGAGGCCAACGAATGTAATACCGGTAGGATTTATAGTTTTGGTTTGAAATGATTGTATTATTTTTTTGGGTAGGTAGACAATAAAAGCAATTAAGAACTCATACAAATTGGGGAATGTTCATTCCATCCTTGGTGATGCTTCTATATATCTTTGAAAATTCAAAAATTGCTCTCATGCATTTTAAAAAATCATCTCCGGACCAATCTTTATTTTTTCTGAGATTTATTTTAGATTAAAAAAAAAGTCCGGAGATGCATCTCCGTATACTATTAGGGTGTATTTGGAGATGTATATCTGAAATATCTTTGTATTCATTTATGAAATTTTGTTATTCACGCAACTGATTTAAATAATAAGTCAGCGGTGTTTTCGGAAATGTATCTCCGAAAATTTTCAGCTTGAGATTTGATAAAACACTATCTAGCATGAGCTTCTTCAAGCTAAAAACTTCATTGCAAAACCTTTAACAAATGTCTCTTATTCTCGATTAACTTTTCAACAACAAAACATCATTATTGTATTTCGTCACTTCAATGGGAGCAAAACAATCTGGAATTGTATATAAAAATCACTCATTTCACCCTTTATTCCTTGCATTAATCTTGAGTATGTGGTGAAAAATGAACGTCGAATGTGAATATGCATCTCCATACGAAGTTAGGTGTGGTCTGGATGTGCATTTTTGGATTGTCCTGTTAGTATGGTTTTTAACACTGTTTTTCTGATATTGGCGGTAATAGATATAGTGCACCCGAATATGTTTTTCAAAACTATTGTGAGTATGGATGTTAAATCGGTTGAAGTGAAACATGATGTTAAATTGAAAGAAGTGAATGATGATGTTCAACCGGATAAAGCAAATGGTGATGTTAAATCGAGTGTTTGATCGGTTGTTGTCGAGGTAGGTGTTCGTGCACAATTTACAAATAAAGAAGTGTTTATTGTTCGTGAACATATGCTACAATAGATCCGTAGGGAGGCTATAAAATTGAGGTACGACTATAGGTGGAAAAACAGCCCCGACCCGTTGCGCATGCCCGTTTTTCTGCACTTTAGTGCGGGACAGGCCAAAGATTTAGGTTCTCACCCTCTAATGTGTTCGTTCCGCCCCGTTTCATTTTCTTTGCGAGCTTTTGCAGGAACGCACATTTACATAAAATTTTGCGTTTTTAGACTTAAAAAGTGTGCCCGCGGACTTTTCCTGCCTCGCCCTCACTTTTTTATGGGGCGAACCTAGGTTTTAGGCCTGCATCCTCAACTATGACCGTCCCGCTCCACCCTATTTTTTGCAAGCTTTTGCGGGATATGTCCAAACGGGGCAGACATGCCCGTTTGCCACCCCTAGGTTTAAAAATGTAATTGGAAGCAATGGTTTAGATATAAGGCAAACATTTGTAAGTAACAATGATATACGAAAGAAGTGGCACATACGAAACAATGATATGTGAGTGTCTGTTTAAATTACGCAAATATCGTATGGCGGATGCGACATAAAAATTTAATGTGATTTTTTTTATACATAATCATGCTTTGTATGACAAGCTAGCCAATCATTCCATTGTATGTCGCCTTGTGCCAGAGGAGAGGAAACTTGTTTCGGACATGACATTAAATATGGTGGCGCCAAAAAACATACTTCTAAATGTTTTAAATATCAAACAAAAATACAACATGCGTGCTCGAGACAACAAGGCAGTAAGAGGACCAAGATATGAGATGCGACAAATCTTGAAGCTTTTGGGTGATGACCATTATGTTACGAGGTACAAAGTTTGTAAGGATAGAGTCGCCGTTCAATATATATTTTGGAGTCATCTTGATTTCTTAAGTTGTTCAACACTTTTTCCTCTGTGCTTATAATTGACTTAATATACAAAATTAACAAGTATAGACTCCCACTCTTTTAAATTATTGATGTTACTTTTATGGAGATGATTTATTCAGTCGATTTTACATTTCTGGAATCCGAAAAAGAGGACAAGGTTTGCAAAGTTTATGGTCTTTCATGTGCTTGTTTAATTTCAAAGAAGCTGAAGCTTGAAAAATCAATTCGTACGGACGAAGTTTGCAATCACTAGACAAAGCTCAGTTTTGATGATGATGGTGTGATGAAGGATGATAAATCAAACATATCTATCAGTACCGAGTGGAAAGTGATCCAAGAGAGATTCATGAAAGCTGACGTCATCATGAAATTTCACATCAAAGAGCAACTAGGGAAGATTGTCTATCCAGAAACAACTGATTTGAAACCACCATCAGAACTGGTTAAAACAAAAGGGTGTACCTAAAAAGGTAAAACCCACTGAAAGTGAACTCCACGAAATTGTCTCTTTCATACTTTGAACAAGTTGACTCACATTTTTCAAATTTTCCAACTTCAAAATCCCCAACACATATTTTTAAAGGTGTTCGCATTAGCAAACCATCTCTCTACTGCCGTTACCAAAAATAAAATTCATTGAAGAGATGTCATTTTTATGCAAAAATACATCGTGTTGATTGTAAATGTTGAAAGTGATGGCAACTGTGGTTTTCGAGCTGCTTCTAGTTTACTCGATAAAGGAGAAGAGGACCACCAATTTGTATTTCGTCATCTTATACAAGAGATGACGACGTATAGGGAATCATACACGAAGCTATACGAGAACAAAACAAATTATAATACAATACTCAATGCTCTTGTTCTTTGTCTTAATGGTCTGATTTCATTTGAAAAATGAACGCGCTTCCCGAAAGTGGGACATCTTATAGCAATGACTTATGATAGGGTGTGTATAGATTTAACACGATATGGTTTGCCGGAAAAATTATTTCCACTTCGGAGTAAGCCACCTCAAAATTCATCCGAACACATCATGTGTATTAGTTGGCTATCAAAAAACAATATTTTGTTCAGGTTTATTTGAATCCGAGATGTCCTATACCAAAGACATCACCGGAGTGGACGACACGTTTCACATAAGATGCTGAAACATGGCCAGATCACTTTCTTGAAAGGATGAAATAATTCACCAAGTTAGCAACATTGAACGAAAAACAAATAAGGAAATGGTCGAAGAATGAACCACCAATAGATTTAGGTAGTGACATATGTATTGATGTGTTTTAGTTGTAATCTAACAATGTAACACATTTTTTTGTAAGTAACGCACTGCATAATGTTATAAAATTGAGTGATATTTTTTGAACAATTTTTGTTTTTGAAATTATGTTCTGTCTTATCAATTGGATTTGTTATGCATAAATTTTTGGAGGTTTCAGAGATGCATCTCCGGACACACCTTCTAATTATAAAAAAACAAAATAGGGGATCATCTGGAGATACATCTTCAGACACACCTTCTAATTATTAAAAAAACAAAAATAAAATAGAGGATCATCTGAAGATGCATCTTCGGATAGATCCTTTTTTTTTTTTTTGAAAAAAAAAGACGAATTCAAATATGTATCTCTGAAGTCTTTCATGCATCTCTGAATCAATCTTTTGTTCATATGGAGATGCATCTTCCGATAAAATTTTAACAAAAAAAGGGGGTATCCCACCATTTTCGCCTCAATTGTGTTTGAAAAAGGTGCGTCCGAAGATGCATTTTCAGACACCAGAGATATTTGAGTTTTTTTACGGTGGTGTGGTAGAACCCCTAAGGGTGAAACGATCAATTTCTTACAAATTTTCTATTCCAAATTTGAATCTGAAACCCAATATCTAATTTAATAAATATTTGTTTGTATCATTCAAACTTATGGTATTATTTTTTTAATATTAACAAATATTTTTGTCACAATATATTATGTTTTAAAAAATTATTTGTTTTAAAATAAACGTCATTTTTAATTTTTAATATAATTTTAATTTTAATATTTGTTATCAATTTTAATTAATATTTTTAATTTATTATTATTTTATATTTTATATTTATAATAATTAAAATATACTAATAGTTTAAGGATAGTTTGATAAATTACTATTATTATTTTTATTTATTTATTTGGATTAAAGTGTGTCACTTATTTTAGAAAATAATCAAAATTCGATAATGCACAAATAAAATAAGTTTTATGATAAATATGTTCTCCATCTTGATTTTTAACGGAAATCTATTATGATATATCAAATTTAATATAGTAGATTATGTTACAATAATTAAATTGCATGTAAGTTATATTTGTCACATCAATTAAAGTCTGATGTGTCACCTAAGATTAAATCTTACAACAAATTTACACTATTACACTTCAACTTCTATTCCAAAAATCATACTATATTACAAAAATCTTATTATTAAATATCTCATAAGAGTTAATTATAGTTAAACACAATCATCACTCTTTATATAATTCAATATTTTCACATTACATCTACAAAATTATAATAAGTGCATAATTTTGTTAATAACTACACTATTTCTTTTATAGAGTCTAATATCAAAATTTATAATACTACACTATTTGTTAAATTACAAAAACATTACAAATTAATAAAATACAATTTCGCTTCAACATTTATTCCAAAAGTTATATGTCACAAAAATCTTATTATTATATGTCTTAGAAGAGTTAATCACAGCTAAACACAATTATCACTCTTTATATAATTCAATATTTTAATTACACTATTTTATTAATAACTACACCATATGTTTTTTTTTAGAGTCTAATACCTAAAAATATAATAACTACACTATTTTATTAAATAAAAAATATTTAACACAAAAATAAAATGATCATTCAACAATAAATAATAAAAACTGATGGCCAACAAAAAAAATGATATTAAATATATAAATTCTTAATTGATCAATTTTCATAATATTAAAATTTCAGTGCAAAGCGCGGTTTATAATCTAGTGGATAGTTAAAATCAAAACCTGTTCCTAACGAATTCATGGCTTATAAAAGAAAAATATCTATCAATTGATCTCACCATTTAATAAATAAATTATAGTGAGATTCATTAATTCAATATTAAAAACTACACTTGTAAATTGTGCACGACTATCTTATTTGTTAACAGTATACAAAATCTATGCTATGTATATAATATATTTCAATTGTGAAATACTAAGAACTTTAGAAAGTAATATTTTCACATTAAATAATGGTTTTAGTAAAGGTATTCCAAATGAATCATAGTTTTATCCTTGAAATTGCATGAATCGACCAATTTGATCTCTTTAATTCATGCAATGTTACTTGTCCTCAAAACTAAGGCAATAGATATTCATTCTATATAACCTATTTTCAGAAATAATGAGTTGAAATATTGTTTTAGATGTGATGAGTTAGAGCATCTTTAGTTTTGAATTAGTTAAGTTGATTGAGAGATTTGGTTAGAACACCAACACCAATTACTAGAACATTAAAGAGAAACAAAAGTAAAAGATAAAGAGCATGTTCAATATTTATTGATACAGTTTGGCCAATGATGTATACTTCAATAACTATAGAGTAACCATGATTATATATATATATATATATATATATATATATATATATATATATATATATATATATATATATATATATATATATATATATATATATATATATATATATATATATATATATATATATATATATATATATATATATATATATATATATATATTAATTAGGGTGATAGTACTACAAGTGTTGAGTATAGCAAGTGTGTGTAGCATAGGTAACAGTTTCATATTAGTTACAAATGTGAAGATTTGAATATTTATAAGTGGAAGAACCTACACACATATCACCTTAAGATTTTGGGTGAATATGTGGTGTGTCTCCCACAAAGTTGTTACTCTAAAAAGGAAGTCCCACAATATTCAATGCTTCCTTTTTGAAAAATCTCCCCCAACAGTGGTATCAGTGCCTCCTTCGAGTGAAGGACCGACTCACTTGTATCGAAAATATCTCCACAGGCGGTAGGTTGGGTGTCAACGGCGATACAAGTGTATGTGGATAGGCATGACAAAAAAACCCTGACCCGTCGGGGCCCGCCCGGACCCGCCCCGAAATTAGCGAGGAAAATCTAGTTTGAGTGGGTACGGGTGCGGGTGCGGGGAAAACCCGACTTTTAATTACGGGTACGGGTGCGGGGAAACACTAAGACCCGACCGCACCCGCACCGCCTCCGAATAATGCATTTTAGTTTAATTCTCTTATTTTACTTATTTTAATATTCATTTATTAATTATATTTTTAATTAAATTATAAATACTTTTACTGAAATTAAAATAATTAAATTAATATTTATTTACTAATTAAATTTTTAATTAAATAAATAATTTATTTATTAAAATAATCAATTTTTTAATTAAATTATTAATTTTTATTGCAATTAAAAAATTATTTTTTTTCGGGTGGAGGCGGGGCGGGTGCGGGTGCACCCGTTCTCTACTGGGGGCGGGTTTGGGCGGTAAATTTTTACTCCCGATTGGGTTTGGGGGCGGGGGCGGGTGTGTTACATGAAGGCGGGTGCAGGTGCGGGTATAGTAAAACCCGCCCCGACCCGCCCCGTTGCCATCCCTATATGTGGATGAAGCTTCCACTTAAGGGGGGTATTATGGAAGCATTGTGAATAGACTCACACTTGAGGGGGAGTGTTGAGTATAACAAGTGTGAGTAGTATGGGTAATAGTCTCACATTGGCTAGAAATATGGAGACTTGAGTATTTATAAGTGGGAGAACCCACACACTTATCACCTTAAGATTTTGGGTGAATATGTGGTGTGTCCCTCACAAAGGCGTTGCTCTAAAAAGAAAATACTACGACTCAAACAGTTCCTCTTTGTCTTAATCAAATCCATATGAAGACTTTCAGCATGACGCACATGTAATACATCCAGCATGTACTACATTCACTTCTAAACATGATACCTTGACATGTTATACCCTTCAAGTATACGAAAATACACTAGACTAATCTCTAATAACTACACTATTTTGTTCATTTAGGGTTTTATAATTGTTTTCCTTTTAAAAATAAACTTCCGTAGTGACTAAGTTGATTTCGAGTGTTCGTTCACTTGAATATTTTTTGCGACGCAACAATTCCTACTAAGTTGAAATACTCTCTCAAATCTCTTCAAATTTATAAACTAAATTTTTTGATTCTACAATTGTTCCCTGTTGAATTATTTGTCTTTATTATTCTTTTTTGAGATGACATGAATAAAGGAATATCGCATAGAGAATTATGTTATGTGGATATAAGATGAGCCACGAATCATAACTCACTTAAATATCATTGCCAAGAGCAAACTAGGTCCCACCAAACCATTGCAATTTGCAATACATAATCTATAAACCTCTCCTTTTTTTTCACACTTTAAAACCACGCTAATGTATTATTAACTGTAGAATCACATAATTCTAAGATATTTTGTAGAATAAACTAAATAATTATGCTTTAAAAACATTAAACACTAGAAGCATGGTAAATTTTTGTGCATGTCTATGTATGAAACAAAGAAAAAAATGTCTCATAAATAGTATCTATCTATAGTATGATAGTTTCTTTAAACATGTGTATCAGACTGCATCATATGAAACACTGATATCGTGGCTGCACTTTTTGCCTCAGACGTGGACATACTCATCTGCACTGATTCTAATAAATCAAAAACACAAAATATATTAAATTCTGTCCATAATAATTCCAATAAATATCTTCTTAGCACAAACACATCTTTTTCTTTTCCCTCAATTCTTAGTATTTATCAGTTTCATTATACATCACTAGCCATTGTTGCGAACAAGATATCTTGTTGAGGTACCATTGTTTCTCTCTTTCTCTATGAAGGGTGACTTTGTTCATTGGTAATTTTCTTTGTCTCATGTTCCACTTATTGTTGTCTGTTTGTCTTCTATTTCTGTATAAACTTTACGAGGATTGATTGTTGTTGTTCTTTCATATTCTTAATGCATGTTGAAGTTTGATGATGTTTTTTTGTGTGACTGAATTTGTTGATCTAACTTTGATTGAAGGAGGTGCATGAGTTTGTCATCATATTCATAAGAAATGACTGCAAATAATGGTAGAGGAAGTGATGAACATAAGAGAAAAAGCAATGTGGTTATTGGTAATGAGAATAATGGTTTGACTAGAAATTTTGCTTCTTTAGTTGGATCTGGACATCCTAGTACTAGTTTTTGTTCCACCACAGATCCTAAACAGTTGCATGTTAGGAAGTATCATAATAGCTTTAGTAGAGAAATTGCATTGAAAAAAGTTGAAGAACAGATTCCTCTCAGGTTAAGCAAAAGACAAAAGGGGAGTGATTCTAGGATAAACTTGAATCATGAACCATGTAAAATGAAAAGTGCTTCATCTACATCTAGTTATCCTCAAAAGGGAAAGGGAGTTATTGAGAAGGATTTCGACAATGTTATGTCTGGCGCGGAATGTTTTAACGACGGAATCGTGTTAAGAGTGTGGATGAAGTATGAGAGTCATAGAATGAAGAAACCAGAAAGGTTGTGTATATTTAAACAGATCTTAGAGTTGGTTGATTTTGCACACTCTCAAGGGTTTGTCTTGCAAGAGATAAAACCGTCTTGTTTCACTTTATCGCCTTCGAATAAGATTAAGTACATTGGTTCATATAGCCAACAAGTGTTTGATGACAGAAAATCGTGTTTCACCGTGTTTAAGTCGTGTCTTAAGGCCATCGTGACTTGTAAAGAGACAGAATCTCTTAAGCAGCAGCAGCATTTTAAAGAAAAGATGTGTGTAGATGGTTCGAGTTATCGACGCGATTTTGCAGAAGAAAAGCAGTTTGTTTCTGAAACCATACAGTTAGAAGAGAAGTGGTACACTAGTCCAGAATCGGTCGACGATGGAACTTGTACTTTTTCATCAAATGTTTATAGCCTTGGAGTTTTTCTCTTTGAGGTCAGAAAATACTTTATACATTTTTGTTACTTTCATTAAGCACATTCAACTGTTATATTCATAATCTATTTGTTAACATTTTAGTGGATGCTTCTCACAGTTGCTGTGCAATATTGAATCATTGGAAGCACATTCATCTGTGATGTTTGATATGCGTCATCGAATCTTACCGCCGAAGTTTCTATCACAAAATGCAAAGGAAGCTGGATTTTGTCTATGGCTTCTGCATCCTGAACCTTCTTCTCGCCCCAATACAAGGTATAGTATGGTGTTATGCTTCTATTAGAATGATTGATGCGTTTTTTCTGTCACACTTGAATATGTAAGTCTGTTTTTATTTATAACAGGATGATTTTAGAATCTGAGTTTATAAGCGAATTAGTGGAATCGAGTTCCGGAGATAATGTTATGGTCTCGGAAGGCGATGTAGGTGACACCGAGGAGTTACTGAGTTTTCTAATTTCGGTTGAAGAAGAAAAGAAAAAACATGAAGCCAAATTGGCAGAAGAGTTAAATTTTTTGAATGAAGATATCAAGGAGGTAGAAAGAAATCATTCATATGAGACTGATACAGTATTTCCTTTGGCACAATTGAACTATCGAAACTTTCAAAATTCTTCCACAGATATCGGTCGATCTATTCCAAGGTCATTCCCCGACGAAGCAAGGTTTATGAGTACTATTAGTCAGCTAGAGAATAGTTACTTTTCCATGAGATTCCAAGGCCTGCTCAAGGAGGCTGCAACTGTTAAAACCAGCGATAAAACCGTGATGGAAAGTAGATGGCGATTGCCTCATTTAGAGAATGTTAGCAGTAATGATCCGAAGAGAGTTCAAGGCTCTATCGGTTGTTTAGGACCTTTCTTTGATGGTTTATGCAAATTCGCTCGTTACAGCAAGTTTGAAGAGCGCGGAACATTGAGAAATAGAGATCTTCTTAGTTCTGCCAATGTAATATGTGCCTTAAGTTTTGACCGCGACGAGGACTACATAGCGGCTGGTGGGATTTCGAAGAAAATAAAGATATTTGACCTCAATGCTACTTCGAGTGATTCTATAGACATTCAGTACCCCGTTGTCGAGATGTCAAACAAATCAAAGCTTAGTTGCGTGTGTTGGAACAGTTATATAAAGAACCATCTGGCTTCTACTGATTACGACGGTGTGGTTCAGATGTGGGATGCAGGCACTGGTCAGCCACTGTCTCAATACATGGAGCACCAGAAGAGAACTTGGTCTGTTCACTTTTCGGTGTCCGATCCAAAAATGTTCGCTAGTGGAAGCGATGATTGCTCGGTCAAGCTGTGGAATATCAGCGAGGTAAGCTTCTTCTTATGCATTTTGATTACAAACTATAATAACTGTCTCATAATGATGTTGTTTTTGCAGAGAAATTCTATAGGAACCATATTGAGTCCTGCAAATGTATGTTGTGTTCAGTTCTCTGAATACTCATCGAATCTATTGTTTTTCGGATCGGCTGATTACAAGGTCTACGGTTATGATCTTCGTCACACTAAAATCCCTTGGTGTACATTATCTGGTCATGGAAAAGCTGTTAGCTATGTAAAATTCATAGATGCACAAACAGTTGTGTCTGCTTCCACTGATAACACTTTGAAGCTATGGGACCTGAAGAAAACTAGCTCAGCCGAATTGTCATCGGATTCTTGTGACTTAACCTTTCGAGGTCATAGTAATGAAAAGGTCGGTTTCTTTAGGCACGGTACCTCACTTTTTGTTTTCTTTTGTCCATTCTAATTGTATGTTCTTCGTTCGTCCTATTTCTCCAGAATTTCGTTGGTTTATCGGTTTTGGATGGATACGTTGCATGTGGTTCAGAATCTAATGAGGTATACCTTTTAAATGATTGTAATCATGATTTTACTATATTGTATATTAGTTAGTCTGAATCTCTAGTTTTCTACCTTTCAGGTATACTGTTATCACAAATCTCTGCCAGTGCCGATTGCTTCTCACAAATTCGAGTCAATCGATCCTATTTCTGGCCATTCAAATAGTTGTGACAACAACGGACAATTCGTTTCGAGTGTCTGCTGGAGAAAGAAGTCTAACATGCTAGTTGCCGCCAACTCAGTCGGAATTGTGAAACTACTGCAGATGGTGTGACCGATACATTTTATTCGGACTCAATGATGAATGCGGAATAAAGCTTAAATGGGGAGGGTATAGAGTTGAGTTAGTTCAAAGAGGCATGCAACAATGTCTCTTTAATTTTCATATATAGGTAATCTTGATATCTACAACATGAAAAGTACTTTTTCCTAAATAAGCTGAACTTGATATGTATAAAGCACGTCCATATATTGGATTTTGATTTGAATATCATGTGACGCTTCAGCTTCGCAATCCTCTCATTCGTTACTGCAATATAGCTCCTTCTCGCTTCTATAAATCCGTGTTTGTAAGGCTGCAGTCTGTTGAGGAAGCGAGGCAAAAATTACGCGCGAAAACTAACTAATCGTTGATATAATAATGTTCTAAGATTTCAATTATACACATCATATAAAGTTAGACAAAAATTGTATTGCATGTTTCTTTGTTATCTACAACATGATATGAAAAGTGCTTTTTTCTGTTCCTATCCTTATTCACAAAAACTACTTATGTCAAGAATTCCTTCATTTAAACTACTGAAGTTAATTGTGTGTGTTCCTTGTTATCTAAGCTAACTCAGAGTCCGAGACATGACCGGAAGATGATCTTCTTATTATCCTCGGACTTGATATTAGACGTTTATCTGAATTCATCCGTATGCTTCGCAATCGCGGGGACATTTGTGGAGGTCTATCTAGTCTCCCTTTTGGTACACCTGCATTGACAAGCACACAAAAATGTTAAATTCGCTGCTGAACTTCAATCATTTTCAGACACTAGCTTGTTAAGCAAACCTGCATTGCTTTAATGAAGAATTTCACGAATACTAACCGGAGCCAAAGAAAAGTTAGAAGCTAACCTGATTGTTTGGCTCTCGAATCTAGCGACTTCCTTGTTGATAGAAGTCTCCTGTTGTTCATAATCTCAGGTCCAACTGAAGGTTTCTTTTCTATTACGGGTAAAAACGGCTCATCTCCCGACGTAACGGTTTCATCACCGCAGATTGAAGCATCACTTCCAGATTCGGAGTTATCCTTAGTGCCTCTACACATTTTTTCTTGCTCGATAACTCGATACGCGAACATTTGAAAAGGAATATTCGATATTGGCGATGATCCAGAACTTCTCCAAAAAGGAAACTTCCTCAAAAGTACCGACTCTATATCGCAGTAATCCACAGGTGGCACTGGTGGATCTGTCTCTCTATTGTAACCGGGATTTAATGTGAGAAATCTTTTTATATAACGAAGAACTCTACATATGGATGAGAAATTCGGACGTTGATTCGGATCGGTGTGCCAACACTTCTTCGTCAGGTTGGTAACGTATTTCGGTGAATTGAGTGGAAAAAGTGGCCTCTCTCCAGCTCTTATGTTTCTGCTCATTTTCTCCCCTTGAAGATGACTATCTTCAAAAGGAACTTTTCCGGTTAGAAGCTCAAAGCAAACCATTCCAAAACTATACACATCAGACTTCTCCGTGTACTTAGAAACCGATGCAACTCCCGATTGTTCTTGCTCTTCAAGAACCTCAGGAGAATACCAAATGAACGAGAGAGTTCCATTTTGATTCGCATTCCCTTTCTGGTTCAAATCCTTAACAGAAGATAGGCCAAAACCCGATACCTTGGAATGCAAGTAACCTTCTGGCGACGCACTTCTAGGCTTAACAAGAATGTTTGAAGGGTTTAATTCTCCATGGTACACTTTCTTAGAATGAAGATACTCCATTCCTCTTGCAATCTGAATCATAAGATCAACTGCGGTATGAAGCACGAACGGTATTCGCTTCCTCGGACCGTGAATCTCTTTAATATGAGTACAAAGAGTTTTGCTCATCAGTTCCATTAACAGAAAGCACTCTTTCTTCTCCTCATCAGTAAAACCACAAAGACAATCCGTTATATTCGGATGCGAAAGCGATAAAAGTTCTTTGATCTCACTTTCCAAAGCATCAATATCACCCGAAAAATGTCTTAAAACAAAATTTTCACCTAACCATTGAATCTCCTTATACTGACTTCCGTTCCCCATTCTTCTCTTCACCTGATAGTCCTTAGAACCAACCAATATCGAGCTCGGCAGAAGCTTAACTTCCAACGACTCCGATACTTCTAAATTCCTAAAAAGCAAATCTATTAATTTCCTCTCATACTTTGTCGCACCCGACACTTTCTTTTCATGGACTTTATTGAAAAGGAACCATCTATCTTCCTTCCAGACCGTATCGTATCGGTTACACAAATCCTGAGTAATGAGGTAATGCTTACCGAATTTCCACTTGAAAAGCTTCATGTCTCTAAACTCTTTTCTATATTTATTCGAATTTATAAGCCTCTTCCTTTCCATCTCATCTAGATCCAAACCCGACGTCTCAGCAGCCGATTCAATCGCTTCGATCACAATAGGCATACAACATAACAAATTGTGTAGGTAAAACTCAACACAATCTGTGTTTTGACACAATGTAATGGCTTTTGCCCAAAAGTCCTTTATTTCCAAACAATGCTTAATGTAAACTTCTCCTTCTTTGAAAATCTTATGGATCTCTCTTAAGGGCTGTTCTAGAGCCTTCCATTTTCCATTCTTCTCTTCAAATTTCAGATTCTGTATGATCTCATCTGCTATAGATTCATATGCAAAGGTGAAAACATCTAGAAGAACACAACATTGTCTCTGGTTGATCTGAATGTTCTCTCTGAATACCATAACAGCCTTTAAACTTCCAAGAGCCTCACCAATTTGTCTAAATTGTTCCATAACTCCGGTTTTGATCTAAAACAAAACCTGTAAAATAAAAAGGTGGTGAATATTCTTTGACATTCACATAAAAAACCAATGTTATTCACTATGTTACACCGACACGAACAGACACATACACATATATGTGTCAGTGTCGTGTTTGTGTTGGTACTGGTGTTTTATTGATAATTCATCATGGAGTTTAGATGCTAACCAAATAAGAAATGTGGTAAAGAAGGAGATTGATGGATCAAGCTCCTTCTGTTGTAAAACTGATGCAGTTTAAAGTAATTTTAGTGTGACTTAAAATTAATGAAAATTTCCTTAATTCAGGTACATTCAAAGAACAATAAGTTTAAGAAAAAAAGTGAAAAAAATGAGTTCTTGGTTATCTATGTAAGATGTGATGCTACAAATTTTACAAGAGAAGAAAAAAAAAAAAATGAAGAAAAGGGCTTTTTGGTAAAATGTTGAACTTTGTAAGATTAGAAAAGACAAAGAACAAATTTTGCGGGATGTGTTTTGAGTTATGATTCAAGATTAGAATATGAGTTGAGTTTTGAGGTAAACCACTCAAACATTCCTAGTTTTATGGTTTTGTATAGTTTGTTTTTTATGACCAGTTCTTTCTATGGACTACTCATGAGTTTAATGCGTGTCTTATCACAACCAATCCTCAAATATTCCTCATCTAGTACTTCTTGTCATATAGAGACATCAAAAGACGACAATGGAAGGGCAAATAAATATATTTGATGATGTAAGATAGTTATATTTGATTATTGCTATTGGAACTTAGAAGAGGCTTTTTTTTTTAGTGAAAATAAATAATAATGAAAGTTTCGTCTGACCGAATAGAATTGACAGTACTAATCAAATAACGCTATAATTTTATAATTTTAAGTAATAAGGATTTTTCGTGGCAATGGAGATTAGTGGTTTTATTGGGAGACAGTGTCTCGCAGTTTAAGGTTTTTTTTTTTATAGGAGGTTGATTATTTTAATCTAATCGATTCGACCAAATTTTTATTCGATTAGATAATATAAATTTTTTTTTAATTGATTAGAAATACTTCTTGGTCAATTCCATACATGCTATGATAGATTTTAAAGATGTTTTATGAAATTAGAAAGATTTTGAAAAAAAATTTTTTGTATATGTAATTGTCTGAGTACTTTAAGACTTATTTGACCATTTATATTTTAACTCATCACTCTAAGACGATGAGTGTAGGATGAGACAAGCTTTCACACTTTTACAACTTTAAATCTTCAATTTCCATTGCTTGATAATACAACGACTTAACACTTCAATTGGAACTTGAATCTTCCAGATGGTAAAGCTTGAGATACCTTCTTGATCGGGTCTCATCATCAGAAGCTTTACTTTACAGTTGAAATAAACTCCCCTTGTCATAGAGAATTTCAACAACCAAAAGTTGTTTGACTTATGCACTCGCTATCTTCAAAATTGTTTCATCAATTGTCATCATCAAAATCAACAAATACTTATACCTTTAAACACATAGATCAACATTCTTCCCTCTTTATGATGATAAAGTATCTCTTAGAGAGGTGGTAAAGAAAGAGAACGGCAGGTAAAGATTTGGAGTAATGAAACTCCACCTCACAGATACGGAATGTATATTATACTCTCCCTAAGAGTATATCTCTCCCACTTTAGCATAATAAAAAAGGTGAAAATAGCGCAAGCACATAGCTCACAATAAAAAGGCGAGTAACATTTAAAACCAAACAAACTTGTTGTAAAACACATGAGAAAAAAAATTATTAGAATAAAAGCTAATAAATGTGTGAGATAAGAAAAAAAATTTAAGCAAAAAATAAGACATAGATCAAAGATAACTACTCTTTGTCTCTATTATCATCAAAATGGGACATTCCTTTCTTAATTGCAAAATTTTCTAGGGCACCGACTTGTTTGGCCAATCTTCGAAGAGTTCTGACATTATCTTTAGAGTTTGAGAGGACGAAGGACATCATTGCCTTAGTAAACGGATCTTGAAGAGAATCTTAATCATTGTCTTCTTAACTTAATGGCTCATTCTCTAATTCCATTAACAACTCAAATTTTTATCTGATTTAAAGAGTCTACGGATTTGAATGGGATCTGAGTTTTGAAATTTCTCTTTCCAAGTTAACATTAACATCAAACATGATTTTAGTGATCAAATGTTCATACGGTAACCTTGTCGGTTTAATTCTTTTGAACTCCATCATGTGACACATTACTCCATATTCTTAATTGGT